TATATCTGTTCTATATCTATGTATTTACGAATTCCATCAAAAGTGTCTAAAAATCTTAGTGATATTCTTTCCCATAAATAAGGATGGATATATTGATGTATCACATTGAGGTTTTTTTAGCTTGAGTGTTTAACAGCTTACCTACTAACGTGTTACCTCTATAAAACAACTGGTTTTAAAAGAGAATCCATTTCACCTTGTGTGTGTACATTTGTCTTCTTATTTACCTTATAAGGATGAGTCGATAGATTGTAATTGAATTCCTATCATGTGCACACCGTGATGATCTGTGGCAAAACAAAATACCAAGAGAAACAATCCTGCCTAGGACTGTATTTACAGTCTAGGAAGGGAAATGTGATGTATATTCATAAATCTTCTACATTACAATGATGCCACGTGAGTGTTAAAAGATTTTAATTTAATTTAGTATATAGAAGTAGAGATTATAGAAAGGCAACAATGTCATCAATTATGAACACAAAAACTCCTTCCCAGAAATTCTATGTGAAATTACGAATTGCTCATGTTTTTACTGGCTACAGGAAATGAACCTCATGTTACCTAGAACTGATGGCTATTTGGTCAATAACATGTAATAGTCTATAGTTTATAAAAGGTATCGATGAGAATCTGGGGAAACCGAAGCTAATCTGAAGGTTCAAATCATTACCAACAACGACAACAATATTAACAGCTAACATTAACCATCACTACTAGCCAGACACTGTGATGTGACCCATGCATGTATTATACAAGAAGAAAATACTTGTACTATCTGCAGATGTGAATCCAAGCCATGGAGTCCCAAAGTTCCTTGCCCAAAGCCTCTCTATTAATGTATGTTTTCCATATTATCTCCACTTTATACCTCACGTCTTTATTTGCTTTATTGCCTCTAAGATTCCCAACAACCTGGGCCTGGCAGTTCAGTTGGAAACAAAGAGCCTTACCAAATAGAAATCAACAGGAGTAGGACAGATAGATCAGACCAGGGAAGATCAAAATCAGGGGACTCCTCCGGTCATTAGAATAGTCAGAAGAATAGAACAACAGGTCAGGACATCCAGCAGTTTTTTAATGGAGGGGAACGTGCCTGCAGGAAAGGATCAAGAGCAGGACAAGGAGAGGGGCACAAAGGGCTTCAATTACAGCCACAGGAGCACTGCCTGACACAGGTGGCCCGCCAGTGCGGATGCCTGAGGACAGGACAAGACGCTCCTGCACGCCCCCAGGCCATGACCACAGCTGTGAACACCTTTCTCATCTTTCTTTTCTGCCTTGGAGCCCCTCTCACCCCCAGCGTGGTGCACAACATTGGGCTGGCCCTGCTAATGTTTGTTAACACACTGCTGTTTGCCATCACCAGGCTGTTGCTGATGGTGTGGGAGTCGTACTTTGAATGGAATCTTTTTTTTTTAAAATCTAAATTCAGATTTCTGTGAGAACTAGTTAGGGACACAGAATCCCAGCAGGGAAATCCTGAGTCTTCAAGATCTGAAATGGGGAAGGAATATTCATGTACTCCCTACAGGGTCAGATCAGTTCTCCAAAGGAGGACACATATAGATAAAAAGGATCACCCCAGACACCATCCTTTATTAGTGAATAAGGAAAGGCAATTGAGAGACTCTGCATTTAGTGACGCAGTTGCTAAATTTACTGGAAGACAGACTCGAGAACATCTATGTTTGGATTTGAGGTCCATGATAAGTTATTAAAAAGAGAGTCATATATAGACATTTACAAATAAAGGAATTAAAGACAGGCATGGAGTATGGACAAAAGTTATTGAGTATCCAGGACTTTGAAAGAAAAAATACAGGGTTGCCTCAACCAAGGTATACCTATAAGTTTCCTGTTAGTTTTAATCAATCCCTGAGTTTTATTTAGCCTGTTACCTGAGCTTGTTGTGAATCCAGAGTGTCTGGGTTCAAAATCCTGGCCGTGCCCTATACAAGCTGTGACTCTGGGTAAGTTACTTAACCTCTCTGTACATCAGTGTCCTCATCTGTAAACCAAGGATGACAATAATAGTACCTACATCATAGGGTTACCATATAGATAAAATTAGTTGTTATTTGTCAAGGGCTTAGAACAGTATCACAGTATCTAGCATTTGGAAAGTGCCTCAGAAGTGTAGATTTAAAAAAATCCTGGGATATGTGCTGATTCTTCTTTTTCCTTAGCTCACTACCTCCATTCAACAAACACTGCCAATTCTGCCTCTTAAGCAGAACTGGACACCTTCTACTTCTCTCTCTGGAAAGCAAGCTGCCCAACTCAAGAGACTAACCATCCCTTATTTGATTTGCAATAGCCTTTTCACTGGACTCTGTAACCTCAGCCTAGCACCCCTGCCTGTAAGAATCTCAATCCACAATTCAGATGTCCAGTGGAGAGTATACTATTTTCCATAGCTCAAGCTCATTACTTTTTTGAAACCATGTTGAACCTGCCAGGATGGCTAGAAATTCCAAAGCATTCATTTGGGAGGTTGAGGGTCTTCCCCAGTGCCAAGTCATCACATGGGGCAGGGACAAGTGGGAATCTGATCCTTGATCCACACTGGTTGCCATGAGGCATCCAGTATTGTAGGGCACATGGCCCTGCAGGCTCTGCGTCTTCCTTGTCGTGCCTTGGTACAGGCATTTTTCGCAGGCTGTCTACAGTCTCATCCATCTCTTCGCAGCACAAAATTATTTTCTTCTGTTCAGACAGCTGTTCAAAGGGGACCTGATTTTCAGGAAGCAGAACTCAGAGAGCTTCTGCATCATCACTCAAAATCCTCTCTCTCTTATTTTTCTCTTCCCTGCCTTTTCCCCTCTCCTCTTCTCTTTTGCTTCTCTCCTCTGTCAGGAGGGCTGCTCTTCTTGCCTTGCATTTTCTTACACCTCCACTTTCTCTTCCTGTTATCTGTCTCCCACAATCTCTAAATTACTATAGGGCAATTTGGACCAAAAGAGCCACAGAGAACAGTTCTATTTTTCACCTTGCCATATTCTTTACCCGAGGCAATGAGCAGGGGACCTGCTGCCTGCTTAAATGGAGAATGGCAAAAAGAAGAATTACAAGGAGAAAAAAATAGATTTATATTGGAAATATTATCTCACCACACATTCAATATACAGAAGCCAAGCAGACTGACTACAAAACCTAAAACGCTAATTGAATCTCACCATTCCCTTAGGTGAACATTTCTGGTGGCTTCTAATTGTGATGAGTGTAATGTCTAAACTTCTGGACTTGGTGTGCAAGTTGAGGCGAGTCATTTTCACAAGCTCACAGCCTCCCTAACCTTCCTTTCCTGTCATTCCCTCCCTCTTTTCCAGTGTTAAGCCATTTTAAACTTTTGTCCCTTGTATGAAGAAACATATTGGCTCCTCAGACTTAAAGTACTGTGTTTAATGGCATTTGCACTTACTGTCCCCTCCTGCCCACTCCAACCAAAACAAAAACCCAGGAGGAAGCCACTATTCTCTGGATCTTTATTGACAAATACGGAGTACACATGGCTTATTAAACACTTAAAATGGGCTGTAAGTTCAGATTTTGAAGACTTACTACCAAAAGATGCAAAATATCTCATTAATATTTTTATAATGGTTACGTATTGAAATGACAATATATTTAATTAATTGGGTTAAATGAAGTAGATTAAAATTAATCTCACTTTCTTTTTAAATGTGGCTACCAGAAAATGGAAAGTTGCACAGGTAGCTCACTTGCATCGTAATTCTCTTGAACGGTGCTGTGCAAGATTGGGAGAATGAAGGGGAACAACCTGAACTATGGAAATGTATGAAGAAAGGGCAGAGCTTCTGCTCCCGTCCTGTCCCCTGAAGACCCAAAGATGATGGTGCTTTGACATAAGCCTCAGACAGGGTCAGCCTTAAATTAAAGTAACTTTATAAGTAGATGACATTTTTCCTAAAAGAAAGCATTCCTTTTCATGTTTAAACATATTCTGCTCAAAAGCCCATATGCACCCTGAAATTTTGATTAAGAATTGTAGATACCCCCACAATTATCCTCAAATAGCATTTTTTCTCTTGCAGCCATCTAGAGCTTATTCTCATAGCCCTTCACAAATGTTCAGGAAATTCTTAAACAAATAGTGATAACCCTGCTTTGACTCCCATGAATTTGTTAACTAAAAAAAGTTAATGAGGTTTATACTTTGGGAAAAGGGGAGCTCTATTTCTCAACCTGCAGGGTGGACAGTCCAACAGGCTGGGAAGCAGAGCCCTGGCCAGAAGCCGACACACACGTACTTCAAAGAAGAGACAAAAGGCAACAGGATTTTATACTGAGTGGGCTGGTCAAATATACATATTTAACAAGCTATAGGGGGAGTCATGAATATTTATAAAGGGAAATCATATGCATGTAATTGTGCTTTATCTCTCCCCATCATGGCTGGGAATTCAGTTTTAAGATGTTTCTGGGGCCCCGTTGGCCAAGAGGGGTCCATTCAGTTAGCAGAGGGTTTAGGATTTTATATATAGTTCACAAATTCTACGTTTCCAGTCCTCCAATGTACGGCTTCTCTTCTGAGGGTCACCATAATTTCACACTCAGGCAGTCAGCTGCACCTTAACCCTTGGCTAATGAAAAATTCTCAGTAGGCTAAATTCATACAGAATTGAATCAGTACATTAACTTTCAAACCTCTGCAGGTTGGCTGAGACACACACACACCTAAGCAATAATCTGCACAAAGGAATGGAGAGACTTGCAGTGTTAGAGTAGCAGTGGATTTTTGAGATGAATCTGAGCAACTATCTTATTTTACAAATAAAGGAATTAAGACCTAGAGTAGTTAAATGAATTGCCAGTTAGGGCTAAGAATGGAATTAGAATTTACAGCTCCTTCCTCTTCCAGTCAACAAATACTGAGCTGTCCTCCAGGGGCTAGGTACTCTTCTAGGTGCTGGGATATAGCAGATATCAGTTGCAAAGCTTTCCTGTTATAACAGGAAACTCAATTAAAAGTTGGCTTGAAGAATAAAGGCAATTTATTATCATGTAAGTGGGAAATCAGGCTGGCTCCAGACTGCTCTTAGTCCAATGGCTCAAATGACTTCATTGGGATGACTCTGTCTTGAGTTCTCTGTCCCAATTCCTCAGTGCTGGCTCCTTTTTTTGTGAGCTTCCCCCATTATTGTCACAGTATAACAATCAGCTGCTCCTGGAGTTATGTCTTTTTAGATGCAAGTCTAGCACAAAAGAATCCACAAGCACCAACAGCTTGGAATTGATTCTTGCTGCTCTGATTTGCCCCTGTTGGATCATGTGTTCCCCCCTGAGCCAGTTGGTGTGGCCTGTAATCAGATATGCTAAGTGGCTTATGCCATTCAAGGCCCACTCCCAGAGATAAGAACCGAGTCGATTCCATCCCTGATTCGCATGCTGGGGATTTTGAGGTACTGCTAGGAAGGAGGAAAGGGAGTATAAATGCTGAGAAGCAACAAACAAAATTAAATATAATCTTTTCCTTCAAGTACTCACAGTTGAGAACCTTTTCAATAAACCTATATTGGTTTTTCGATTCTGTGCCATGGAGCCCTAAAAGTTCTCTAGGGGCATCTCAGCATTCGAGGGGGTCTGCACCACTATAACCCCCACCCAATTACCTCCAATGTTAAACAAAGCTGATTCTCTTTTGTCTGTTCAACACATAGGGCGTCTTCATAAGATTTCATTTGAAGAAAGTGCTTCGCTGCTGAAATACGGTTTTAAAGCTGTTCTCATACATAATGCTGCTGCAGTGCCAAAGTTATCTACGTTGCTTTTTATACATTACTGTTTCTTTGATTTAAGAATTTACCCCTGTTGCCAAGTGCCCCTTCCAGTACTAATTGAATGGAATTAGAATGTCATGGAGGCATGTCTTGGAACTTAGGTTTTAGTGCTGAAAATTCCATTTCACAGGCTCTTTCCTCATGCTCCTGACATTTTGCTGATAGTAGTCATTTCATAGACATTCTTCCCATTTCCTGCTTCATTTACTCACTCAAAACACTTGAGAATGATTTCTGCCTCTGTAAGACTTGTAAACACTCAACTTCTAAGTCATGAGTAAGCAAGTAAAATTCTTAACAGACAAATGAATTTACCAGTGAGTTCCACTAGCATAGACACTAAGCAAATACAGTGTGGCTGTCCTTCCAATAATCTACTTGCTTACCTGGGATGGTGGTAATAGTTTGCAATTTATAGTTTGAAGATGAACACTTAAATTAACAAAAGGACAAATTCTGACCTGAAGGAAGACAAAATGTCTCTTCCTTTGTGTCAAGGCTGGCAATATGTTTGTTATGGTCATGTACTTGGTGCATTTGTTGTTGTTGTTCTTGTTGTTCTCTGTTGATATTTTTTGTCTTTTTCATATTCTAGTCTATTAAAATGTAAAGTTTTAAAATATATCACATTTGAGTGTTGTTAGCATTCAAAGAATTCAAATCTTCATTTGTATCCAATTTTCTTCCATCTCATTTCATCATAATGATATTTTTTCTCTATAAAAATTTTATTCTAAAAAATGTTTTCTTAAACATATTTAGGGAATTGAAAGTGTTCCCTAAAATTCAGTCTTAAACAATGAGTAATAGTCATGTCATAACTTTTTGTATAGAGTCTTATATAAATGATATTGTTTCCTTGCTTAAAAAATTGATTAAAAACCATGAAAATTAGGTAAGGATACACAAATATTTCAGATCCACATTGATTTATTTTTATATTAGTCACCTTTAAGTTTTTTGGTTTTTGGGTTTTTTTTGGTGCAATATCCTCCTTTGAATTCCCTGGAAACAGACTCCATGAGAAATTTATGTGCATGGAGTTTTGGGAAGTGTTTGGGAACAGCAGCTCAAAAGAAATGAGGGAAGCAAGTTGGACAGAGAGAGAGGCTCACCTGTAATGACACATTGCAACACAGGCTCCAGATCATCCCAGGAGCTCTTGACTTAAATGGCTTCTCAGTGCTGTCCCAAATTGAGGCATTGACCATCATTGGATGCAGAACACCCCTGAGGAGAGGGCATACCTTAGGAAAGGCAGTTTCCTTCAGCCAAGGGGAATGCCAGGAGAGGGGCACAGCTCTGAGCTGTCTGCAGCCAACACTCTTAGCAATTGGGGGAACGAGTGCTCCAGTTCTAAGGGGGGTATCCACACAGTACAGGACCCCCACCCTCATACCCAGAGAGGAGCTTTGAGGGGTAGAATGATGGGTATGTGTCTGAGGAGTGCCGAGAACTTCCATTCTGTCTCATACCTTGTTTACCATCCACACTAATTATTTCTAATAACTTTAAATGCATGATTGAGTAAAGTAAAAGACATTTGTTGATACAATGAAAGTACAAGTAATAGGTGGTAGATAGAATCAGAAAAACACGTAAGTGATTCGCTTGCACCTAAAAGATCAATTATTATTTTATTTGTGTTAAAAGTATATTAATGAAAGAAGCATAGACACAAGCAATGAATTTCTAGAAGTTGACTTTTTTAGATATGTAGTAGATTTCTTAGGTAGGAAAAAAAAAAGAGTAAATCCCAAGGAAATTATTTCATGTGCTTCAATGATTAAATGGTCTGGTATTGGCAAGTCTCTGAAAAGCTGGGTAGTGCTCTTGTACAGGAACCACCAAAACCATCACAGACACCTTCAAATAGCACACACACAGAAAAACATTAAAAAACTGATAGAGATAAGACAGACTAAATGAACAATGTCTTCAGCCTAAAGATTCTGCTATTGGACTGAAACAGCTGAGAATGTACTACAGCAACCCTTGCATAATACTGTGTTAACTGAAACTGGCACATATAGGAATCACAGAAAGTGAGGACTGTCTTTATTAACTTTTATTTCAATTGTTGCAATTTTTATTTTCCTAAAAATCTTCCTCTATCTTTAAAATTATTAAATTGTCTGAGTCGTTATTAGACTATAAGCTCCATGAAAGAAGAGACCTTGTCTGTTTTCACTCATTAATTTCATGTCTATAGCTTAACACAGTGCCTGACCCCATAGCAGACATTCGATAAAATATTTGATGAATGAATGTATGAATCATCAACCAATTGAAGTAATGGACAACGATCTGGTGGCCATGCACTCTTTTGTCAGACTATCTGGTAAATATCTGAATTATCTGCTGGGTGAATCTTGAAAAGCTAACAGAACTTTCGGAAGTAAACTGTTAGTGTTTGCTTCTTTCTCAGAGATACATAATTTTACAGCAATCCTTCATAATATTGTATTCTATGCAAAGATTAGCTCTTCTATTTCCAACTATTCACTATAAGTATAGTTCCCAAAAGGATTGCTGTCTATGTGTATATCTAATTGGTGAAGCCCATAGTGATTATTTTGTATGTTTTTTAATAAAACAAATTTAGGTCCAAGTAGCTGGGATCCTGAAAATAATTACAAAAAAGAAAAAAAAAACAAAAAAACAAAAAACAAATTTAGGCTTTTAAATTCAACTAGAACAATAATTTTCCTGTTAATTCAAAAACAAATAATAAAAATTAAATTTTCTAACTTTGCTTAGTGTTACTCATGCTCACACAGATCAAGCGACCCAGTATACATAACAGAAAAAAGTACAGATATTAAATAAAGCATAGAAATGCAAATGTGAAATGTAGCAATGCTCAAGGGCATAGGGAAAGCTGAATAATGACTAGAAAACAGAGTGCTTAACCCCGAGGAGTTTCTTAAATTTGTTTTTAACTAGCAGACTTTTAAACAGGAGACAGTAGCTTCTTTACATTTGTAAGAAATATGCCCCGATACTTTGGAATTGCCAAATTTGTGATTTATATGCTGCTTATAGAAGCTCTGGTGCTTTCTTCCAAATCACATTTCTGCCAATCACCCTTGTTTCTTGGACTGGATTCAAACCTCAAATTCACTCATTTTCTACTTTTCTGAAGTTTAGCTCTCATTCTTAGTTTATCTCTCTCTCTCACTTGTCATGAAGATGTATAGTTTTCTGGTTTTCATCACTAAGAAACAAGTAAAAAACAGCTTAATATGTGGGTAGCCATTGGCTTAACTCTCTTGGCTTGAGTGGCTGGTACCCTGATTCAAACGGACACCTCTGCAAAGCACTCTCCCGGTGGACCTTTGTGTTCATGAAAGCTGAAGAACTACCATGTTGCAAGGAGAGTAACAACAATAGAAGCTTAACCACAGAAGGACATTGGAAAAGATGAGAAACAATAACCCGCAGTTGAGTGAATTACTAATTCCACAATGAATGCAAAGAAAGCAAAATTAAGAAAGAGACATTACAAAAATGACTTTATGTGGCTTAAGAACTTTGATTAAAAAGATAAGAAAATTAGAAAAGAAGAAATTTTTGTTCAGTTTATTCTTACTATTCTGGTTCCTATTACCATAATAAATGAAACCAGGCCATGGTAGAAGAATAGAGTTTACTTTTCCATTCAAAGTTGTTGTTGGTTATTTTCATTTTTGTTTCATTTTGTCTGTATAAGTAAAGTGACAGTTTAACTAAAAAAGAAATCTTTTCTCTTTGAAGATGCTCTTTATTATGTTGGTAGAGCAGAACAAAACTCATGTTCTTTTCAGTGACTACAAGTTGGTAAACAATGCCCAGTTTTCCACTCAGAAGTTGTGTGAATTCTAAACAAACTAGCTAACATCAAGCTTGATTTTGAGTGGGAAGATGGCTTTCCTAGGACAATTAAGAAGACAAGAGGAGGAGGAGATTTTGTTCCTTTTTTCTCTTAATGGGAACATTATTGTATAAATAATGCCTAAGCTGTCATGAAAGCCACTTTTTATTTCCCTTAGCTTAGGTGACTAGCAGACAAACTATATTATTGTCTTTTAAAGCTGAGAACAAGAGCCTATTGCAGTAGGTCTGCTTTGAACATTGCTATTGATGCCCTCTTGATTAGCTTTAAGGTTTGCAATATGTGTGTATGGAACTCAATGGATTACAAATTGCATCTATATCTATTATCACTTTTAACCCTCACAAAAACACCTTGACTTAAGCAGGGATGTTATCTGACAAATTACAAAACTCGTGTGGGGCTCAGCCATGTCTGCAAGTTTTTAATAATTCTCCCAGGTTATTTAGTTCATGGAATATTGCTCTGTGACACATTTCCCTTTGCAAATAATCATGGAAATAATTGAATGTTGGGCAAGTACTCTTCCTACCAAGTTATATTAAGATATTTTATTAATATTAACAGAGAATGTAATATAACACACATATCAAGCATTATTTATGCATACTGCTGTATACAGGGTTATAACTGTTGAGAATTTCCAGGCTAGATCAGTTTTTTTTTTAAAAAAACAAACAACCACCACAACAAAACCTTATTCTGTTTGCCTGCATCCAAAGCCTGAAGATGCATGCTGCTTCATTATTTCAGCCTCCATTTCTATGGGGTCATGAGAATTGATGGAAATATCTCTCCTGGATCCTTTCCACAAAAACTTTTACTTTCATATCAGTATAAAGCATTGTGTTTTCCAGGAGATTTGGCACTAGTGTATAGCCAACCTGGTTTGGATCTCACCTGTGTGTTTAATAATTGTGTTTTGTTTGTCTGTGGCTTCTCTGGGACTCTGCTCTTCCAATCAAGTTTGCTTGATATTTTGTCTTGAAAACAAGTCACTTTCCCTGATTGCTGTGTGTCAGAGCAATCTGTCAGGCTCTCTAGCTTCCCAGCAGTCCACTGCTCTACACAGTGTCTGTTGAAACTGTGCTTCAGTGTCCTTGCAGGACTCTATCTGTCCTCACAGCTTGTGGCTGTCCTCACATCAGCTCACTAAACCACTTCTGCCCAGT